TATATATTGAAATTATTAGACAAGGGTATGTATACACATATTTCAATTTTACTATTTCTCTATCACCTCAACCGCTACCTCATCTTCTTATAACAGTGCAAACCCAACAGGCAACAGGTAATAAAATTCACTTTATTTCTTCTATGCTTTAAGGCTTTTGATAAACTTAGAAATAGTAAATAGTAAGCCGAATTCATATATATATATATATATATATATATATATATATATATATATATATATATATATATATATATATATATATATATATATATATATATATATATATATATATATAGTTAGGTTCATGTGAGACGGTCTAATTTTGTAAGATCGTGAGACGCATTTTTTTATTTTATTTTTATTTTTTTTAGTTAATTCAAATTCCGAAAATAATATTTAAATTTTTTTTTTTGATTTTTCCATTTATTTTCCATTTTAAAATTATTTTTAGAATATGTACAGTGTAATATTTTATTTAGAATATTTCACGTATTTTTAAAAAAAAAATAGGATTTTTTTATATTTTTTTATATTTTTTTTAGTTAATTCAAGTTCCGAAAATAATATTTAAAAAAAGAATTTTTATATTTTTCTATTTATTTTGCATTTTAAAATTATTTTTTAGAATATATCAGTGTAATATTCTATTTAGAATATTTCACGTATTTTTTAAAAAAAACGGGGTTTTTTTTTAGTTAATTCAAGTTCCGAAAATAATATTTAAAAAAAGAATTTTTGGATTTTTCCATTTATTTTGCATTTTAAAATTATTTTTAGATTTGATCTCACGGTCTCACAAAATTAAAATGGTTTCAAATGAACCTGAATATATATATATATATATATATATATATATATATATATTATCTTACTTGTCACAAAAATATTTATTTTTTCCAATTATCACAAAGGCACATTATTACCTTCAATATTAAAAAAAAAAAAAAAAAAAAAAAAAAAAAAAAAAAAGAGAGAGAGAGAGAGAACATAGTGTCTTTATCAGGTGCGATTCTTTCCCTTACCTTCACCACACCGACAATAGGGTATTGACTATCGCAGTGGAAGGCCCAGCTCACCCCACCGCACTATGAGGTGGGCTGAGGTGTAGCCAATATAAGGCAAGAGTGGGCATTGACCCATGCATACAAAATTAAGGTTACACATATATATGGTATATATCATAGTTGTCAAAATCGCGATCCTGATCGTAAGATCGTACGATCCTACGATCCTAGGTATGAAAAACGATCTGAATCGTAAAAGGATCATTTTTGGGGTAGGATCGCAGGTAAGATCGTAGGTAGGATCGTAGGATCGAGATCCGATCCGATCCTACCTTCCTTTGATTTTTTTTTTTTTTTGCAAATGAAATATTTTTTACCACTTTATGTCTTTTATCCTTTACCAATCTACTATTTATCATTTTTTATTGTGACTTATGACTAATATTTTGAAGTTTTTATAACTTTTGAACGAAAAACTAAATGTTTGAAATAGTTTTCATGATTAAATATTATAAATTAAAATTATATTATATTTTGTGGGATCTTAGGATCTCGATCCCGATCTTACGATCCCGATTTTGCAAACCCAAAATCGATCGTAGGTAGGATCCTGATCTTGACAACCTTGGTATATATAATAGATATTTTTGTTAAATAAAAAAATTTAAGGTTATAATATTGTCTATTCCATTCAAAACTTGAATATAGTAGAAAGGGGTACATTGTTCTAAGACAATATTATGTGCAATTTAAATAAACAACTTATTTAAAAATACATATATAGTTATTTTTTTTTTTATCGTTTTCATATTTTTTTATATTATTTGGTCTACCTTAAAACAACATTATGACTACGCCACTGGAGGTGGGAGTACTCCTTCCGATCTAAATGTTCTAATAGACACAAAATCAATGTAATAATTTGTTCACTAATTATCTTACAATAGATTGTGTTTTTCTAATATTTGTATTTTTATTTAGAGTCCGTATTGTTTGGTCCCTAACTTTTCTTTTGCATTCGGATTATCCTTGTAGTTTGATTTTGTTGCGTTTTTCGTCCCTTAAATATATAAAATTATGGACCAAACGTACAATTTTAACCAAACAATAGGGATGAAAATCACAACGAAATCAAACCATAGAGACGATCTGAATGCAAAAAATAAAAAATAGAGACCAAACGTGAAATTTTGCCCAAACCATAGGGACGATTTTAGTAATTTACTCTTTTATTTACTTTTTATAAATTGTTATTAAAATGTGTACACTCATCAATAATATTGGATGCGTTACAATCTTGGTGTGAAATGGGGTAATATGAAGAAAAATAAAAGAAGGTTTAAGTGTTTTTTATGGGGAAAATGAAAAGGATAGAGATAACGTTATCCTTGTCTCTTGTCGGGTCCAATGCTTTCGGTTCATTGTCTCGAACCCAAGCCAACCCATGGGTCTCACCCTTCCAATCAACAGTTCATGGCTCTTCGAAATTCAACCCATTTATAGTGTAGTTGTTGTTTATACGTTTTATCTAAAATATATCACTTTCTCATAGTTCAACCTAATTGGATGTTCCACCACTTGTACATGAATTAACTTAGGGTTTTTAATTTTAAACTAAACCAAACGGAGTCCAAACCTTAAATTAGTTCATTCTGATAACGACGAATATGAATCTTGTTCGGTTCTCAATTTAAGTTGGAAAGAAAAAATCTACTGTGAAATTTATACTAGAAAACCGAAAAATCTGAAACAAAAAATTTTGTAGCCCTTGAAATATTTGGAAAGAATATTCATCTTCTCATTTGGAAAATAGAATTTACATGTTTAGTCCTTGTGGTTTGAAAAAATTGTCCACCTAGTCACTTTGCTTTACTGCGTCTGATTTAGACGTTATTCAATCCCACATGGCATATTCATCTTTTCATTATCCCCACACCATCTAATAATATCTATGAATTATCATCCTTGTGTCTTCATAACTTGTACCCCCAAAAAACCCATTAGCTTCTTTAACAATATCATCACAAAGCGTAAAGGTCATAACTCATAAGAGAATGAACAAGTCTAACACTTTTGCATACCATTATGCTTTCTTATCAAATCCATTCGTGTTTGTTTTTTCATGGGTGGACCAAATTACTCTACACTGAAAGTTCTATCATATAGTTATGTAGAGTTGTTTTTAAAAGTATCATGGACATAGTTATGTGGGTGTAAGAGTTTATTATATAGACTGCATGCATGGACATAAATGTGTTCTCAATCCATGAACTTGATGTAACGTTAATAGTATCTTCAACCAAGATGTGGTAAAGTTAGGGAAATATGTGAGAGATCACATATGAGTCTACACTTATTTGATGTCCCATTGGCCTACATTGCAACTAGTTAAAGTGAAAACGTTAGGGTTGATGGAGTTAAACCAAAAGGAAACATTGAAACAAGTTCATTTGATAAAGGAGTGGGTGATGGAAAGTTAGGGGTGATGGAGTCAAACCAAAAGAAACCATTGAAACAAGTTCATTTGATAAAGTAGTGGGTGACGAAAATATACCATAGGAAAATGTTGAAACCAGTCAACTTGACAACAATGACGGATTTAAAATATAGGTAACCAACTAGGATCCAAATTTGATTAGGTTCCAATGAATACCAATATATTGATGATATAAATATAAATTAGGAGTATCCTATTAATGTCAATGCATATGAACAATGAATGAAGATATTGATGGTGGGGGTGATCATAATAATGATGAAGTGAACATTGAGCATAGTGAAAAGATTAATATATCTTCGTGTGTGGGGCACATGGGCTCAACTAACGTCTAAAATCAAACGGGATCAAGCAAAGGGACTTGACGGAAAACTATTTCAAACCACAGGGACCAAACAAACGTTTTCATAATTGTGTTCACTATTCGAGTTTTGGCAAACCACAATGACAATTTTGTCTATTCTTTTAGATAAAATATTTTTATAACGTCCAAAATCAAATGTATACGGTGAATTTTTGTAAAGGTATAAAATCGTATGAGGCATGTGGGCCTTTGTGTTTGGTGGTTGGGGTTACTAAAATATATATTTTCCTTAAAAAAATTGCAATGTAGTTCATTCAATTTGCTATTTACAATGGAAAAAATGTTTATTAATAAAGATAAAATTAATCTTTTATTAACCACTATCAAAAAAGAAGTTATAAACAACAGTTTAGTCATTAGGGAATATGTTTGTTACTTTGGGTAAAATTGAAACTAAATTATCAATACCAGTAAATCATTTATGTTAAAAGAAGTTAAGCTGCAAACATGGGTCCTTTTGATTCAACTAAACAAGTGAGTCTTTAAAATAATTAGACCCGCATATCATTTACTACAGTATTTATAATTTTTTGTAATGGAGAAATTATGAAATTTTATACATTAAATATAATTTGGACAACTTTTCGACTCTTTATGGTCTTTCACTTTTCTCAATGAACTGAATATTTTGTCTTCACACACAATACCTTATTATAAATAAAAATAACTGGAAGCAATAAACTAAAAGGTGGGTGAACACGTAGTGAAATAAAATTGTAGTTGGTTGCGATGATATTATGATAGTGACAAAGATAATAATGACTGACCAACAATAAAATAAATAAATAAAACGAGGTACGTTCAAATTCAAATACATACGAATTTTTATTGTACCAAAAAAATATCTTGAAGATAACCAAAAGTAAAAGTCGTTCAACTTCTCTTACCAAACAACTTGTATATTTATTTTATTACTAAATAATTCTTCCAAAATGGAAAATCATCCTTTTTGAATATATAAGATTAAACTTGTTTTACTTTCAACAACTAAATTGAAATTGAAATTGACATTTGACATTTGACATTTGACACGTACAATATAATCTCTAAATTCTTGTAACCCACCCTCCATCAAAATTACATATTTTCACTTTTGCAAGTGAAAACTTCTCAATGTCTAGGCAAAAAAAATGTACCCAAAAAAAAAAAAAAAAACCTAACACAAATTACAAATCAAAAGATTAAAATAATTTACCACCCACCCTCCCAAAAAAAGAAAAAGAAAAAAACAAAGATCAACAACTCCCTCTTTTCTTAAAATACCAATTACCCCCCCAAGTTTTAATAAATGCAAAATTTAGGATTTATATGTTTGGTTTTAGAGGTATTTTCCTGATGATTTCCAAATTCGGCCTTCGAGAGAAATGACCATGACTGTTACATCATCATGGTACTTCCTCCGATCACCTTGTGGGATGTCCAACAGTTCATGCAAATCCATCCCTATACACAAATTTTTTATTTATAAAAATAAAAATTAAAAAAAAAAAAAAAAAAAGATATATGGAGAAGTGGGGATTACCCGCTTTGCTGGCAGCGCGTAGAAGAAGCTCCTCTATGAGGTGTTGAGCGGGGTCACCATCGGGGAACTTGTGGATGAAAATGTGGACATGAGAAACAACTTCTTCATTGCTAAAATACTGATACAATCCATCCGATGAAAGAACCACAAATTGGTCTCTTTCACACAGTTGATGGTGTCTTACAGAAGGAACACAAGATATGTATGGCGCGTTTCCGATATAATCATTACGAAACATCTCCAACAACGAATCGTTCCATTTCGCCTGAAACACACATCCCCTCAGACAGTTTGTTAACACGGAAGGGTAAAATCGTCATTTACTATTTTCTTGAATATTTTTCAAACAAAAGAAAGAATGAAGAAACAAAACCTTTTTGAGGGATCCAGCCCCGAAAGCACGGGTTACTTTGAGACGACCTTTCACTCTATCATTCACAATACAATTTCTGTCATCCGGATGCTCATTCTTGATTCTAGTAACTTCCTGCAATAGCAACAACATTTTCACGATAATCTAAAAACATTTACTCTAAATTTTATAAGGGGATAGAAAGTTTGAAGTGATTATGTAAGTTGAAATGTGGTTCAAATTTAAGGAAAGAAACGACATGACATCAATAAAGATTAAAGACAAGGACTAAAGTTGACTTGTTGGTTCATACCTTATCCGATCATGTGATACTAAATTCACTAACTAATGGACTCCAATCTTGTCCAAACCAAAAATAATTTTAAGTCAATGAGGATAAAGTCATAAAATTTGAGATACGATTAGTATCCAATGCTCATGATAGTGACATTAGACATGGTGGAAAAGAAAGAACCTTAAACATAATCCGCAATTAAGATTCCTTATGATATGGATAAATGATAATTCATAAATCATGTTCAAAGTATTTTAGAAAATGAAACCACACAAGGAAAATATAAATGAGGCCAAATTTGTATAAAGTTACGACTTAAACGACATGAGTCATGTCCCCATTAAGTCAAAACATATTCAGTAAAAGCACATGGGTAGGAAGGTAGCACAAAGATACAAGATAGTCTACTTCGAAATGATTCAAAAACCTCAAATCATTGATTCAAAATGATTCATGTTTAAATTATAATTAGAGAAGAAACAAGATCTATTAAAGACATCAAAACGGTTGAATTTTAAGATGAAGAAGTTAGAAACTTACTTCTTCGATGCTTGTGCTATGATCGGTAGAAAGTTGCAAAGCTGTCAACCTGGAATCTTCAACAGGAACGTCTATGGATTCCTTGACTACATTATCCTCTGTGTGAGATGAACCGATTTGTTCAATTTCATCATGCTGTGCAACAATGGCACGACTATCTCCTAAATTCATCACGTACACGTCTTCATCTCTCATCAACACAGACAATATGCAGGAACCCATAAGAGCAAGCTCAGGATATTGATCCATGACCTTATCAGTCATATCCAGATATGCAAGCTCTGTTACTTCCAAAGCTCTTGACATTGCTTTCAAGACTAATTCATGGTCTACTGGACCAGATTTCTTCTTCCTACCACTTTTAATAACATTACAGGTCTCCTCTGTTCTGTTTTCCACTTGTTTTTGCTCTTTGGCATCCAACCCGAATTTCCAAGCAAATAATTTACTGCCTTCCTTATGTTTACCAAACCCGTTTCTCCATCTGGATAACAGTAATGACCTGCGACCAACTGTGGAGCTGGTTTTGCTTATACTGAGTGCATCATTGACTGAAAATGCAAACCTTTCGGAACCAGAAAGATCGAGTCCATCTTCAGGTTCTTCTTCCGCAAGGTATTCCCATAATCTTCTCCTTCTGGTTGCTAGTTCTTCTTCAGGTTGAAATGAAACCTTCTTTACAGGAATTGAATTTATATCTGTTGATTCTACTTGTTGTAGTTGTGGTGGAGAAGATTGATGTTGCGCGGGAGGTTCGTCTTCTAAATCCCAAAACAAACCTTCGAGCTCTTTATACATGGCTTTATATAAATTTCCCATCAGGAATTCCGGAGCATCAGGACCGTTGAATCCGTCATAAATGCCAACAAATAGCCACCCGTGTTCTTCTGATACGACGACGTGCACCCGATCCTCCCCCGCTTTCATCAAAGCCCACTGAACGTCGCTCTCGTTCTTCCTCTCCGATTCTTCTACTCCCCTACCACCTGCCGGAGCTTCCTTCCGGCCTCCGACGAAACTCCGTACGGGAACTACCCAAGGCCGAGGGAAGTTCCGATTGAACGCTTTCCGGATCCCAGGAATGGATTTCCTTCTCTTATTTTTGACGTAAATGCCACCATTGAGCGGCGCGGAGAACGGGATACCATTGTTAGAATCCGAACCGAGGTTTGAATCTAACGGACCGGATAGAGCCCCGAGCTCGATCGGACCAGACATGAAGAATGCTCTCTCCATTTGACCGGAAGCCGCCCTCGCAGAGTCTCCTCGTGGCAGAGGCTGCAACGGAAGCGCACTAAACGAAGACGTACTTTCAAATCCATTGACTATACTGGACTTGACCCCGCCACCAACAGAATCAGTGGCATCATCGTAAATATTCTCTAACTGAAGGACAGTCCGGGGAGTGGAGGTATTCGCACTTACCGAGGCACCTGAAATCGCTTTGAAACCAGTCTCCGACACGCCGTACGGTTGCCGCGACCTCGTCGAGGAAGATTCGTGCGACGGAGAGAATCGCAGAGATTGCGAAGGAGAAACAAAATGATCGGAGTGAGAAGGAGAGAGGAACCGGGCTGATGAACGAACATAACAAAAGGAGTGACCTAAGGTTTCGTCTAAAGGGTCGGTAGCCGTGAAAATCAGCTCCGGTGAGTCAGTCCCCCGTTTCTCCGCCGGATTGAAGCAGGGGAGGAGCTGCGAGAATCCTCCTCCCATCACATTTGATTCACACCACTGTCAATTTTTTGCAACAAATTTTGCATACACACAGTGGTGTATGTGAATCAAGGAATTTTAGAGAGAGAAAGATTGGCTTTAGAGAGAGAAAGTGAGTTGATGATTTAAAAATTGGAGAGAGAAAGAAGACTTTGCTTTAAATAGGAAGAAAACTGTCGTGGGAGAAAGCGAGTTTTATTCATTAAAAATCCATAATAATTTCAAGAGTAAATTACATATTTCATCCATGAGGTAGGGCCAATTTCACACCTTTAGTCCAAGTATTGAAAAAGTAACACTGATGGTCCCTTTAATTTCCTTTTTTTTTTGTCTCAGATTCATCCCTCCCCCTTAATATCTGTTTGATTCTCCCGTTAGACCACCTCCATTTGGAGGAATTAGGATTTATGTTAGAGATCTGGATACCCTTTGGATCATATGAACACTTTATGAACTGATATTTCTACCTTATGTCTCGATTAAAACCTTGCGGAAGATGATTGATTCCATACCCACCCTGTATAACGGTCCGAGGATTATTTGGTTGAAAGCAATCCCATTAAAAATCCTCTGTTTCTTATGGAAAGCTTATTTAGGCAGAATTCCGGTGTCAACCAATCTTGCAGGTATGAGTATTTTGAGTAGGGATATTCTGGTAAACTCAACTATTGGTCCCTTATGTGATTCATCTCAGGAGACGATTGATCATCTTCTGGTGGTGTGCCCAATCGCGTAGGAGGCTATAAACCGGATCCTAAAATGGTGTGGATTACAATACACACAATTCACTGGTATGAATACCTTTCTCAACTTCGCTGCTTCATGGGGCAATTATCCAAGAAAAAAAGGAGAAGGTCATGGCGGCGTGTTATGCACTTCTTCCGTTCATATGGAAGGCCAGAAACAACAAGATATTTAAAGGGTTAAATACCAATTCGGCTAAGATCACGGATAAGGTTATCACTCACACATATTTGTGGTTTAAGCATAGAATCTCAAAGGTAGGGTCTAGTATGATTGATTGGAGTATCTCTCCTTTTAGCTAGTTTTATGTACTCGCTTTTGTTTTTTCAGTTATTGTATCGTGCCTGTGATTTAGTCACTTGCAAATCTCGTGGCTTTTTAATGATATTTGTCGCTTCCAAAAAAATCTATGTGCGTCTGAAGAAAAAGAGAGCTAATGATTGTCTGTCCCTTGTCGAAGATAAGAGCTGTTTATTTATAATTAACGAGATTAGGGTTTGCCTCTTAGGGTTGGCCATCATGGGTTACTTTGGAAGCAAGTCAGGAAATCCATAATTTAATGAGGATTTAGAGTTTCCAAAACTAACAAATTTCGTTAGTTTTACCATAATCACCCTTAAGAATGTGAATTTCCCATGATCACCAAAACTAACAAATTTTGTCAGTGGAGCCCCAGCTAGGGGCTCTGCCCCTTGGACCCTGCTAGGGAGCACTGTCCCTACACCCCGCTAAAGGTGTGTTGCCCCTTTGGAAACCCCAGACCCAGGGGCACTGTCAAACCCCTGACTTGTCGTCGAACCGGATTCCAATTCAATCTTATATATGTGTCCACTCCGCACGAACCCGTACATATATTAGAGTACAAATTATGTAGCTCCTTAGCTCACATGTTAGTTCCAATTACATAAAATGACATGCTGACACTAAAATCACCAACACATGTTCCCCTCGCATGAGGGTAATTTTGTCATTTCCCATTAGACACCCTCACATCAGCTTAAATGTTGATCAAAAGTACAATTGCACATCACCATCTCTTTCTCTCTTCTTTCCTTCTTTCATCTCTACGAAGACGAAGGTTTTTCATCTAACAACAATGGTGATTTTGTAACATCCCAAAAATGCGGACCAAAAATTTCATTTTAAATTAAACATATATAAAACCATTTGTCTGAAAACCAAATAGTAGTTATGTGTGTGTGTGTGTGTGTATATATATATATATATATATATATATATATCAATGTTGTAAAAATCCCGATTAGGTCCCGATTAATATTCGGTTAATCCCTAGGTGCTACTCGACTGATTAGAGAGCGCCTAGCGATTAATCCATGCATACAAAATGACTGAAACAGTAGAACCCGATTAAATTGTAACATTAAGAAGTTATATCTCAATAGAAACTATTTGAGGTATGATTAGTGTTGTATTTATCATATTAACCTATTTTGTAATGATATTAGTGGTATTTATGAACTTTTATATGATATTAGTCTTATTTAATATTTTAAAATCTAACAAATTAGCAATTAATGATCTCCGATTAATGTCCGTCTAGTCGATTAAACCCTTAACCCCAGTCCACCGACTAGCTAACGTCGAGCGATTTTTACAACCTTGAATATATATATATATATATATATATATATATATATATATATATATATATATATATATATATATATACACACACACACACATATATATATATATATATATATATATATATCAGCCAATGTATCCATAGTTAGAACATGTCATAACAAAACATATGAGAGTATAAATCCCGTAGATCTCTGGTGCGGAAAATCGTGTGTGTGATGCGTTGCTACCGTGCCAGCTCATTTGCTTTTGATGAAGAAGTACCTGAACCAAAACTGAAAACCATAAACACAAAGCTTATTGAGTTCCCCCATCATACCACATACCATATAAACACATAATGCCTAGCATATATGGATGTTGGCCTCCCCTTCGATATCTTTCAACCGGTAATTGCGTAGCATATCTGGGTGTTGGCCTCCCCTTCGGTCTATTTCAACCGGTAGCTACCTAGCATATCTGGGTGTTGGCTTCCCCTTCGGTCTCTTTCAACCGGTAGCTACCAAGCATATTTCACCCCTATCACTACCATATAATAACATAGGATACTAGCACATAAAGCATAATAGATAGTGGCACACCAGATAATTACCACAAAGACAATCATTTAAACTATAATCACTTACTAGTGAGCTGGCATTGGTGTCTTCGACCCACTCCTACTGGAAGGTAACTCACCTCAATGTCATAAAGTATCTGAACTGTCCTCGGCTCCGGGATAAACTCCTCTCAAACTCCTACGCATAACAATCTCCTTTAACTACCCTTTCATACTTATATCCCCTTTAAGGGTCAACTCTGGTCAAAGGTAAAAGTCAAAGGTCAACACTCTGGTCAAAGTCAACCTTCTGGTCCAAGTCAATCTTCTGGTTGACTCAGCTCGCCGAGTTCTCGGGTCCATAAAACTCTCAAGCCTCGATCCTACTCGTTGAGTTCTTCCACGAACTCATCAAGTTTCCCTTCATATAAGTCAGTGTGTTTCACTCCCAACTCACCGATTTCATCCTTGAACTCGTTGAGTTCCTCTTCATATCAGTCGGGACATTTTGCTCTCAACTCACGCGAGTTTATCCTTGAACTCGTCGAGTTCCTATTCATAACAGTCAGGGAATTTTGCTCTCAACTCGCCGAGTTTATCCTTGAACTCGTCGAGTTCCTCGTCATAACAGCCGGGACGTTTTTCTCTTAACTCGTCGAGTTCATCCTTGGACTCGTCGACTTCTTTGATCTTCAGATCTATAAACATGTCAAACTTGTCGAGTCATCTTCTAGACTCAACGAGTTTGCTCAGTAACAACAAAAGTTGGGGGACCACGACCCAACTCATCGAGTCATATGAACGACTCGTCAAGTCCCCTAAAGTCCAATTCTATCCAGTCGGGATTAATGCATCAAAAACACGAATCTGGTCCCCTAGGGTCGATATATCACGTAAAGTTTCAAACTTTACGTTCATGCATGGGTTACTTAGCTCAAAAAGCCCTAAAATGTGGTTTATATGATGCATGAGACTCCCATAGCCATAAAGTTGGCACTTTTATGCCATGGAGTCCCTCAAGGACTCTGGATCTGAAGTTATTACGCCAAACACGCTTGCATCCATGAATGGTTCCATAATATGCCCCTAAACTACTCCATGAGGAGATCTATTAAACAAATAGATAAGGTACAGACTTTATATCTCAAATGAACTGTAAATGAAGCACAAACTCTAGATCTACTTGCTTCTTTTATAACCCCCCCCCCCCAAGCTTCCTCTTCCTCCTCAAGCTTCAAGATCACCAAAAACACACAACAATGGTTCAAGAACACTCAAAACGAGTTAGGTTTTTGTGACTAAGGTTTGAATGTGATGGAGGTTGTAGTTGAGGCCAGATAAGGTGTTTAAATAGGGTGCAAACCCTGAAAATTAAGGTTTCACTCTGGCAGCCCCACTTGTCGAGTTGAGGCTCTCAACTCGTCGAGTAGACTTCAAGTCCCGCATCCAATAATTCCATTCCTACTCGATGAGTTTGGGGCCTCCAACTCGTCGATTCCCATTAAAAATAAGAAATTCATAACTAAAAATACATACCAGGAATCGGGCGTTACATATTTATGGATGTGGTGTTGAAGTAGTGCAATGTGTGTGACCTCTTGGACAAATATGAACCCTGGTAGAAGGTTATGGTGTTGTTTAAAGGTTGGAAACTCATGTTGATTTGTGGGACGGTATGATGCTCTAATGTGTGCAAGAGTTGTAGAAGTAATTCCCAGATTGTTTAGGTCCATGAATGTGCTCCATTAAGCTGTTGTAGAAGCTAAAAAGTACAAGTTGGTTTTCTTTGGTTTGTGGGTTTTTTTCCTATTTGTTTATTTTTTTTAGTAATATGAAGATGTAATAGGAGTTTATAGACAGTGGGGGTTCATGGTTTGTTGGTTTTTGGATTGAGTACAAGGGTTTTTGGATGTTCTTAGTTTGTGAAATAGTTGGTAATATGTTAGGATATTTTGGTAGTTGTTCATGGCATGTGGGTTATGTTGTAATGGCTATAATGTTGAAGTAATGAAAGAAGTTTAATGTAGTATGTTATAATATATTTGGTAGTTTTAGTTATATTTGATCAATTATATGTATACTGATGCAATTTATTATGAAGTTAATTTCATGGGCAATGTTGTCGTTTAGTGATCTTTTGCAAATGTTCATGTTGAGGTTAACCCTATTGATTGCATATTTACCAAATTGACCTCATAGTGACTTGGTCTGTAGCTGATTTGAATAAATCCGTAAGTCAAAGGCGTATTTTTTTTTTATTAGTTCATTTGATTTTCTAGATTGATAAGATCCTCTTGGGGTTAAGGAGATCTATTAATTAAAGCCTCCAAAGAAATAAGAACATGGTGTTCTCATCAATTCATTACTAAATTATTGAATATTTTGCATTGTTTTCAACATTCTGGTATAAGAGCCACCACAGATTGGTGAGAGCTAGAAAGAAAATAAAGAAAGAGAA